AATCTTATATTTCTTAAATGGACAAGCCCATTTTTCATTGCATAATCTTGTAACCGAGGTCAAGGCGTTTTCGTAAACACTAGTTACAAACTCTTTTGCGATGGTAAGTTATGGGTCTTCAAAGTTTAAGGGTTATATCTACTTAGAAATTTTGTAAAAAATCGATTTTTCAAAAATCACATTTTCTTAAAGTATATAATGTTAGAAATATTCCCTTAAAATTTTAAGTTGATCCGTCGTATTTTCATGGAGATATACGACCTTGAGTGTAGGTCCGTCGGAGCGCTCCGAGCCGTTTGGCGCGGCAGCTGCACGAAGGAAGAATTTCGTCTGCTTCTACCTGTCTTTCAGGTCATCTGTTGTGTGTATTAGAGTATATAGACATATAAGTAAATACAAAGAATCTTCCAACACATTTTAACTTCAAATTTAACGGACTTTTAGACCAGCAAACACATAACCCTGGCAGTATAGCAATTGACGTCGAGCCATACAGTTGAATATTCGCTACATTTTTCTCAAAATTATGAATCGCCAAAAGGGTTCAAGAGATTTAAGAAAATCAGACAATTTAAGAAAATCGAGAACAAGAAAAATGCAAGAACGTGTTTAATCCACAAACAGTGGAGCACAATGAAGATAGTTTTAGTGCATCTGCAAAGAAACTCAAGAGGCAAAAGGAAATAATTGTGCCGCAAGACAATAACATAGAATATAGAATTATAAACTTTATTACCGTTTTTCCACTATTTCCAATTTTATAAAGTGCAAGCAATGTAATGGAAATATTAATTTTCAAACTGCAGATACGCGCGGCCTCGGTTTTAAAATTGCTTTACTGTGTGATAATTGCGAGCCTCAGTATGTTCCTTCAAGTACTTTTGTCTCACATTCCTACGAAATAAATCGAAGATTTATATTTACAATGAGAGTTCTAGGAATAGGATTAAAAGGTGCTCAAAAGTTTTGTGGCTTAATGGACATGCCGGCTTTTTTTCATCAGTCCACGTATGATATAATTGTAAAACATATGCACGAATGTATTAAAACTGTTGCTGAAATACTTTTTAAAAAGACCGTGAAAGAAGAAGTAGCAGAGACTTGCAAAGCAAAAAATTTGGATGAAATAACTGAATTAACTGTGTCTGGTGACGGGACGTGGAAAAAGCGCGGATTTAGTTCTCTATTCGGTGTTTCTTCTATCATCGGATATTACACTGGCAAAGTTATTGACGTTTTTGTGAAAAGTTCATATTGCAAAGTATGTGAATATTGGAGTAAAAAAGAAGGTTCTGAAGAATATGAAGAATGGTTAAGTACGCATACAGAAGAATGTCACGCAAACCATCAAGGGTCATCAGGTAAAATGGAAGTAGACGCGATTCTAGAAATGTTCCAGCGTTCAGAGAAAATTTACGGTATAAAATACACGAACTACATTGGTGATGGCGATTCAAAAACGTACAAGGGTATCATAAATGCTGCTCCTTATGGTGATACTCCTATTGTTAAAAAAGAATGCATTGGACACGTCCAAAAAAGAATGGGAAGTCGCCTGCGCGAGTGCAAAAAGAAAACGAAGGGGCTCGGCGGTAAAGGCAAGCTAACGGCAAAAATGATCGATAAATTAACAGTTTATTACGGTTTAGCAATACGACGACATTGTGAATCAGTAAAAGATATGTATAACGCGATTTGGGCAACATATGATCATTATAGCTCTACAGATGAAAAACCGTGTCATAGTAAATGTCCGACTGGAGTTGAGTCATGGTGTACTTGGCAGCGCGCTTCGGCGAAAGGAGAGCTGGCTTCATTTAAGTACCGCTGGCACCCACAATTCTCGCTAGATTGATTTCAAAGAATGTTCTTATTAGCTATCAATCACGAGTTTGAAAGACGATGTCTTGAGGTAGAAGGGAATGTTTTCGAACATTTCAGAAATTAAAAATTTATGCTATACACATCCACACACCACACACGCGCGCGTGCGCGCACATACAATACAGAGGGGATTTGGAGTCATTAAATATTACGGGACTGACAAATCGTGGGGTCCTTATCTCTGTTGACATACACGCACGCACGCACACGCACACAAAAGGTGTAAATCTGATCGGGCAATTTCCGTGTGGTATACCTTGGGTAATGTTAATGTCGGCGGTACTTTAACTTTGAAGACTCATAACTCAAGAAGTTATATCGCAAAGTTTGTAACTAGTGTTTCGAAAAGTGCCTTGACCTCAGCTACAAGATTATGCAATGAAAAATGAGGATGTCCATTTAAAAAATTGAAGGTGACTTTCACATCACCTTCAAATGACTATTAAAAATTAAACTAATGGCACCATTTTATGTCCCCGTCGAAACTGCAAAACTTTTGTACGAGACATTTTTCAATGAAAGCCTTGGTTTTCGAGAAATTTCAATGGATTATTTAAAATGGGTCATCCTGTATATTAGATGTTTATACATGTTGTTATATATATTTTTAGTTATATTCAACGTTATAATAATAAATAATATTAAGTTTGTATTCTAATAACTAATTACAAGCTTAATTTTAGCACAACTTATAACAAATATGATACTCATTTTTTTGCAACAATATCTGTTATATTGTATACAGGATTTTCAAATATCTCGTACTTATTGAATATTTCAGAAAGGACGCATCATTTTGCTTCGGTGCAAAAATTATACTATGTATATTGATACCGTAGATTACGATAAAACTCTTTTCCTCCAAAAATTGCCTCTTGAGGTTTGGGGGGAAGGGTACCCTTATCTTGGTATTTTTAAATGGGAAGGGTATGTTTTAACTTAGGATTCAAATTCTATGCAAAAAAATAAGGCTATTTTACTCTTGTCATTTTTTTCAAATTTCCTCGAATTTTTTAGTTATAGAGGGTTTTCCTCTATAACTAAATTTTGAGCTCCATAAAATGCGGTGTAATTCCGGCATTAACTGAAGTAATTAAATTCTGAAGAGATTTGAAAAGTGCATGTCAAGAGCTTTCTAATAGTTAGTCACAACAAATCCTTTTCTATTATCAGGCTATAGTTTGAATGTATTTTACTAACTAAGGAAAACTATCTTGTTTTCGTCAAAACCAGTGATCTATGTAACATACTAGAGTGAGCACCGCTGTTAAAGCCAGCCGAGCTTGTTTGTAAGACAGAAAGACGATAGAGAAACAGAGAGCTCATCATCCATTATGGAGATTATTATTTTTTCCATTTAGACAAACGTGCGAGACAGAATAAGTATCACCTCTTAAACTCTTTCTCTCTCGGCTCTGAGCCATTAGGCAAATTCCTGCTCATTTCAGTATGTATAGAATTACGACTCAAACGAACTTACCTGTAAGTGAAGTTCGAGTATAATTATATGAGAGTCTCGTTCGAGAGATTATAATGATTTACTTGTAGTACCGCTACTTATGCTTATCGTAACCACAGCTTCAGAGTAGTTAAATAAATTTCCGCGGATCCACCGCGTCGCCTACCGGCGCCACCTGACGTCATATAGTTTAGAGTATTACTAGGATAAATCAAAAACGAAAATATGAGTCCTCCAGGAGAAGACTAGAGTTGCTGAGGGTGGGAAAGCTCTAGGAGAGTGGGTGGGAAAGTAATCTCTCGAACGAGACTCTCATATAATTATACTCGAACTTCACTTACAGGTAAGTTCGTTTGAGTCGTAATTATATTTCGAGTCTCGTTCTTCGAGATTATAATGATTTACTTGTAGTAGATGTTCAGAGCTTGAAACTAATTGACTAAGATCCGAACTCTCTGTTTTGTTTTTGTTTATCATAAGTGGAGCGTTTTTATTTACTTTAGATATACGTAGGTAGAACCTGGTACAATGACAGAGGCGAAGAATCTTTTTTTTTTTTTATATATTCTTTGTAATTTATTTTCCTCGAACAGAGAAGCTAACAAAACTCCCTCTATCATTAGTAATAGGTCGCTTATAAAATCTTGCGAAGACCTGAGAGTGTTCTGTGTGTGACCAACCTGCTGTACTTTTAATGATATTAATATCTATGCCTTTACAATCTGCGGATGAGGTAGCCGCGTGTCTCGTGCTATGAGCAGTGTATTTTTTATCAATACCCGCGAGTAATAAGCATTGTTTTATCCATCTACTTATAGTTTGTGAAGAGGCTGCTTTATGTGGCTTTTTAATTGTGATGAAAAGGTTGTCTATGGAACCTCTCAAGACTTTGGTTTTTGATAAATAAAAGATAAGGACGCTCGCCACGCATGCGGTTTTCCTTGAATTAAAAAAGGGGAGAAAAAACATAGGTAGTGCAGCTCCTACCCGGGAGGTCTTAATTTGATCTGTGACTCTTATTTCTACACCATTTGGCGAAGAGGAAATGTTCTTTATCTTAATGAGTGATAAGGTCTGGACTCTATGGGCCGTAGCTAGCGCGAGTAAGGCAACTAATTTGAGAGTGAGAGATTGTAGATCTAACGATTCCAAAGGGTCCAATTCTTCGGACCATTTTAATAATGTTTCGGTGCTCCAAATGGAGTCATACTTGGGTTTAGTAGGGCGGAGTTTATAAATTCCTTTGAAGAAGCGAATAATAAACGAGTCATTACCTAAATCTACAGAGCTGAGAAGGTTAATTGCTGATCTCTCAGAATTCAAAGTGCCATAGGCCGCGCCTTCTTTAAAGCGCTTAGTTAAGTAATTCAGTACTCCATTAACTTCTGGCTGGAGGGAATTTCGATTCGCGCTTAGACAGAAGTTCCACCAGTTTTTTAGCCCAGAGTTGTATTGCTTCATTGTAGCTGGCGTCAGTGACGAGATTAGGATATCTATTGAATCCTCCGGAAGTGATTTCTGTTGGAAAGATCTCCTGAGAGCTTCTCTGCAACCAGGGTAAGCCGTTTCGTCATTGGGTGTGTTCTGGACCTGCATGGAGATAATAATAGGTTAGGCGATGGCAAAAAGACTAAAGGTCTGTCAATTAACATAGAGTTGAACAGAGGAAACCAGGGTTGAGTTGACCAGAGTGGGACCACCAGGATTCCTAGTGCTTTATCTATTCTGATTTTTTGTAAGACTCTGGCAAGAAGCGAAAATGGGGGAAAGGCATAGAAATAGAAGTGTTCCCAGTTAACTGTAAAAGCATCTATGTTCTATGCTTCTGGATCTCGTTTCCAGGAGCAGAATTTCTGAACTTTGGCATTGATACTGGTGGCGAACAGATCAATGTCAGGTAAACCCCATGTACGAATAATCTTATTGAAGGCAAAATTTGCCAATTCTCATTCCGTATCGATATTCTGACGTCTGGATTCTCTGTCCGCATCTGAGTTTTCCCGCGAGGGAATATAGGAGGCAAAAACCCAAATATTTTTCTCTTCACACCATTTCCAAATATTCCTCGCAAGTCTGTTCAATTCCGGAAATTGGACTCCCCCCATTTTATTAATATACGCGATAGCGGTGGTGTTGTCAATTCTTAGAAGAATTTCGCAGTTTTCGCAATCTTGTGTAAAACATTTCAAGGCCATGAAGGCTGCTATAAGTTCTAAATGGTTAATATGTAGTCTTCTCTCAGATGACGTCCAAAAACCATGTGCGTTTTCGCTGTTACAGTGAGCTCCCCAACCTGACAGAGAAGCGTCAGAAAAAATTTCTTTCTTAAATTTGGAATGTCTAATTGGATATTTAACGAGGGGAATTACAGATAGCCACCATCTCAAATCCTCCTGGAGATAGGAGGGAATCACCATCTTTTGATCGAAATCGTTATCCGAAAGTATTAAGGCCAAAAATTTTTCCCTTTCTAAAAGTTTTGTATATAATATGCCATACGGAACAGCGGGACAAGTTGCGACAAGTAAACCGATAAGGCGGGCAAAGTCTCTGATTTGACAGGATTCTTTATGTAAAAATTCTCTAACATTTTCAACTAAGAAATTCTTTTATCTATTGGAAGGGAGAGAGTCATTTCTATTGTATTGATGACAAAACCTAAGTATTTGCAACGATTACTTGGTGTATGCGAACTTTTTTCTTCGTTAATTGTGAAGCCTAATTTATTCAGTATATTTCTAGTAGTTTTTACGTTTTTCAAACAGGACGAATTATCATTGCTAATGCATAAGAGATCGTCCAGATAAATTGTGGATAAAAATCCTTTTTCTCTCAGAAAATTTACCACAGGCTTTAATACTTTGGTGAATACGTATGGACTTGTAGAAAGTCCGAAAGGTAGGCAACAAAACTCATAATAGCGATCTTTAAATTTAAAGCGAAGAAATTTTCGACTTTTTTGTCCAATAGGAATTGAGAAATAAGCGTCTTTTAAGTCAAGGTTATACAAGAAGTCTCCTGGAGAAATCAACCGCAAGGTTGAACGTAGATCTTCGAATTTAAAATGGAAGGATTTTATGAAATGGTTCAGGACTTTGAGATTTAAAATAAAACGTTTTGAGCCATTTGGTTTCTGAACGAGGAAGAAGGATGATAGAAATTCTCCCTGTTCTGATTCACATTCATTAACGGCTCCCATGGCGATTAATCTTTTTATTTCCATACTTATGGACTTTTCTTCTTCCTTAGAAAATGGAATTACTTTAGTGAAGCTAAGCGATTGAGGAGGGGGAGATGTAAAAGGAATTTCATAACCTCTAATGCAATTAAGCACAAAGGGGTCTTGTGTGATTTTTTCCCAATGTTGGAAAAAATGTTTGAGACGACCCGCAGGTGACCTCACCTTTGAGACTAATTCTTCTCCTTTTGAGGCTGGCTCGTCTTCGTCTGTTTTGCGTCGTTCTGAGATGTCCTGTTGCTGGACTGTGTCGATGTGGGAAATCTGGTTTTTTGAAAATAATTCTTCCGGCCCTGATGCTGAGTTCCCTGTCTCGCATAAGGGCCTCTCCAGTTTAACGAACGACCCACATTGGCCTTGAAGCCCATTCTTCTTGAATCGAACGAAATAGATGAAGTGGATGAGCTTTTAATTTCCTTTCCCATTTTTTCTAGTGATTTCGCCGTTTTAATAACGTCTGAAAGCTTTTCACCATATAGGAAGGTTCCTGATTTAGTTTTCTGGAACAATTCTTTCATTGGCTTAGAAAGAAGAGGTGCAATGAAAGCTTTTCTTGCAGACGAGATTTAGAAAAATAGCTGGGAAAGTAATTTACCGACATCAGCCAGTTTTTCTAAGAGGATCATGCGATCCACTGGATTGTTTTCATCATTGAGAATCATTGTGAGACCTTCCCCAAGCGCAGACAAAGCTGAACCAGCTAGATTTTGTTCAATCTTGAAAAGATTGTCTCTTTTAACACCTGTGGCGCCAATTGAGTGGACTAGTTCGTCGTTCAATGTAGGGGCCTCTAACAGGAGGTTACCTCTGCGGGGATATTTATCGGCAGTTTTGTCTTTTATTTCTTTTGGAAGGCCCTCCGTCAACCAGACGGACCATCTTGCCACCAGGCTTTGATGAAGGTCCACTGACATCCTCTTACTTTTGGCCGGATCCTCGCCCAAGAGATCCTCTGTTTCGGAATCTAGCTTTTTGGAAACGTCTGACAAGACGTCTGAAAGAGCAACGTCCTCCGTTATAGTAACCGAGGGCATTGTCTGTAAAGGGCAGGGGATCGCCCGAGATGCAGCGTCCGAGAAGCTAGGAAGGTCGGCATAGTCAGATGCAGTTACGCACTGGTTATTCGCAGGGATATTTTGATCCCGATGACTACCATCTAAAAATATACAATGGTTGTCAGTGGCACTAGTGGTTATTGCCTCCTTCGTGCAAAATTTACTAGTCCAGAATGCACGAACATGCCTCATCAAACTGAGTGCATGTCGCCAAAAAGCACGAGCATAGCTCGTCATATCGAGGTCCTGTCGGACTCGCTACTGTGTTTTCTCTCTCTTTTGTGTTTTCCCATGACAAGGGTAGGAGAGTACACTACTTTAGACTTATTTTGTTGAAAGTAATAGAAGACTGTGTGCACTAATTTATAATGAGAAAAGTACCCTGAAGCGTGATTGACAAGCACAAAAAACGTTATGACGTCAGGTGGCGCCGGTAGGCGACGCGGTGGATCCGCGGAAATTTATTTAACTACTCTGAAGCTGTGGTTACGATAAGCATAAGTAGCGGTACTACAAGTAAATCATTATAATCTCGAAGAACGAGACTCGAAATATAATTCACTGGTCAAGACTTTACAAATGTAGACACTTCTCCCTCATTTTGGTCTAATAGACTGTTGTGACTTAGAAGCCGTTAGAAAGCTCTTGACATGCACTTTTCGAATCTTTTTTCAAAATTCAATTATCTTAGTTCCGGAATTACACCGCATTTTTTGAAGCTTAAAATTTGGGAAACCTTAAATAAAAATTCGGGAAAATTTAAGAAAATAACAAGAGTAAAAGTCTTATTTTTTTGCATAGAATTTAAGTTCTAAGTCAAAACATATCCTTCCCATTCAAAAATTGAAATAGAGATAGCACCCCTCCAAAAAAATCTTTAAGGGACAATTTTTAGAAGTTGAAAATAGTTTTATCGTAATCTACGGTATTGATATACATAGTATTGTATAATTTTTTACCTTGAAGCAAAATGATGCGTTTTTTTCTGCATGGCACAAAACATCCTGGGACATCTTAGGGATATCCTGATGTCCTGAGAATTGCTTTAGGACATCCTGAGGATATTCCCGAGGATGTTTTGTGCTATCTGGGTTCCAAGATATTCAATGAATACGTTTACGAGAATCTGTATATTTACTTTTCGCGACTTTTTATATTTTGATAAGAAATTAGTCAAATATGAAAAAGAAATTTTTATTATAATTGATACTTATTTTACATTATGTAATAATTATATTATTTATTTGTTATATCGTACATTCTCAAGAAAAGTGATACAAGTCAAAATTTTTCGAATTTTATTTTATGTGCGAATTGTGTTCTAAATACATACATCGCCCTTCAATCAGGAAATGATAGAAGTTGAATTGAAATACTTTCCGTGTAAGTCCGCTATGTTTAATACTGCCGATTTATAATTTACGACAGAGTTTGAGATAAAAGCCTATTTATAATATTATTATATAATAGAAAATGTTATTGTTAATGTAATTTTTTTTTCCTTTCTCTTGAACAATTTTGTTTTTTTTAATTTATGTCACTTTTCTTGCGGGTGTGCGATTTATATATTTTACATTATATAATAATTACATTCAGGACCGAACTGTTTTACGCCTTAGGCAAAGCTAACTATTTACAACTCTTTAAAAAACAATGGTCAACTTTGGTCCTGATGATGGTTATTGCACCCTTTTGAGTCCTGCGTCCTAGGCGGCTGCCTAGTTGGTCTAACAGGAGCATCGATCCTGATTACATTATTTTATAAAAAATATACGAGCTATCTTATTTTTTTGTGTTATATATTTTTTGTGTGTGTTTGTGTCTTGTGTCTAATGTCTATATATCGCACACCGCCTGCGCGTTCGAAGATATTTAGACAATATAGATAACACAGCCCGAGATACCCGATCTGACAAACACTTGATCGGCGTCGTCTTTTCTGACCGAAATCGTTTATACTCATGCAAGAAAAATTCTTTTGTTTGGTTTTAATATTCAGAGCTGCAGGAAATTTAAGCTGTGGTGATTAAACATTTAATTTATGATGTCAGTTTAAATTTGTCAACCAAATTACTGCATAAGGGGATCCTGGAGTTTGTTTTACCGTTAGAGTTTTATATTTTTTTAGAAAATATCTTTTTCGAGTATCCTAAAATTATGTACTGTATGGCACCTCTGTTATTTATATTATTTATATTATTTATATTATTTATATTATTTATGTTATTTATATTAGACTTCTGAGTTCAATTTTAATGATTTATTAACATTTTATTATGTAGTCCGCAGTACATTTATTTAGTGTATAAGAACTGTTGAATTTTTTATATGAAGCGAAAATTTATAGCTCTAAACGTCATATTATCGTAAGAGCATCCCAAATAACACAAACACATTCTATAAACATTTGTTGAAAATATTAGAATATTCTTTCAATGTAAAAGATGTTCTTTAAATTTTTATAGAACGTTTAAATGAGACCAATTTAAATATTCCAGATAGGTTGAAAAAATATTTTTGATTATACTCTAGGAATATTCAGAGAATCTGTTTAATACCATTTAAAGAACATTCATTGAATATTGTACTAAATTAGTATATGTAAGTTATAAATATGTGTACATATATGTATTTGATACAATTTATTAAATACATATAAGTATATAAACTGTAATCTTATGTCACAATTATCTTTTTAGTATGTGTATATGATAAGACATATATTAATGTTTTCATTTTTTATCTTTTTTTTTATCAATATATATATTTTTTATTATTTATTTTTTATTATTTTATTTTATTATTTTATTATTTTATTTTTTATTATTAGTATGATTCGTGATGCAATAATAGTACCTTGTATGCATAATAGAAATTTGAAATATATTATAAATATAAATACGCATACGAAATATTATTTTAAACAACTTCTTGTGAAATATTTTGCGGAACATTCGGTAATTATTCTGTGTAATATCTGGTGCCAGTATCAACCAGTATCAACAACCACTTGCAACAATTCTTGACTAAGCTGACTTCCTCCCGATTAAACTGAGGGCTGCCACTGCCAATCTCCCGTGCCGCATTTAATTTGAATCAGACGAAAATCGTCCACGAGTAAGTCTGCCTGAATTCAAATTCATACTCCGATTCCGCTTGGACAGGAAACTTAGTTTTTCTTTCATATTGGCTGCGTTCAGCAGAACAACTGCTGAATTGTCGTCTAGTCAACACTTAACGTTGATTTGTTGGTTCTAAAAGTAAGAGCCAATCATGTTCGATTGCTACCAAGCGATTTGTTCTGCTGAACGCGCCCATTGTAATGAACAGTAACACGTGTTCAGCCTCCCAACCCGCCCGCCGTTCACGTTTGACTTGTTCTTAGGATCTCCTAGCTTTTTGGGGAATAGTATTTTTCCTGTCGCTATACCTGCGATATAGAGTCAATTCGCTGAGGCTTCGATTAATTTTACATTACATTTCACAAATAATAGACATGTCATACAGTCTCCCACATCAAGATCTTACTCAATTTTCTTTATTCTCTCACTAGAAATCCTTGAAGAAGTAATCCTAGTACCTGCTTCTCCTGAGCTTCAGCTCCCACCCCTAGTTGATCCTTTTCTCGACCATGTCGATCAAGTGATGGATCTCTTTCCTGATGAGCTCCTCAATCCAGATTTTAATTCGAACTCTGCTCGCAGCAATTCTCCTACTATAAGATATTCTTTCCCTTCTTCTCTTCCTCCAGATTATTACTACCATGTAAATTTCTTTTATTATCCTCACGAAGAATAACTGACACAAATACCGAACACACATAAAAAAATTATACAAAATTGTAAATAATAGCTATTTATAATATTTTTATATTATAATATTTTTATTTTATGATATTTTTATTCTATAATATTATTATTTTTATTTATTTATAATATTTTTATATCATATATACTCTTTCCAGCGAGAGAGTAGTTTCTGCGCATAGAAGAAGTATAGCGGACAAAGTGGGCAGAGCACTAGCATTGAAAAGCTGCTTGAGCAGTATAGTCTTGTGGAGTGGAGAAGGGGGGGGGGCTTTCTAAGTGTTCCGTGTGGAGCAATCTGCGCCGAACAGACGAGTTTTCGTTTGATTTGAAACTACTCTCTTGCTGGACAGAATATATATATGTATATATTCCGCAATTAAAATTAATTTAGTTTTAATTCTATTCATTATATGTTTTTATTATATGTTTAGAAGTTCATTAATATGATAAAGTTAGTCATTAAAATTTGTAATTTTAATTTGTAATTTTAATTTGTAATTTTAATTTGTAATTTTAATTTATAATTTTAATTTGTAATTTTAATTTGTAATTTTAATTTGTAATTTTAATTTGTAATTTGTAATTTTAATTTGTAATTTGTAATTTTAATTTGTAATTTTAATTTGTAATTTTAATTTGTAATTTGTAATTTTAATTATATTAGTTTTTGTATTAATGGAATCAATAATAATGCTTTTTATTTAAATATAATTTTAATTTTATATTAAAACTCTCGTTTTAATTTCTACAAAGACCTCGTCTGTGTTCTTTCCTCTTAAGGACTTGCACTGGTTCCGTCCCTGGTAATTGAGATCACTATCTCAGACCAATAAGGGAACCATCCAAATGGCAATATTGAATAACAGAGTAAGAGCGATCTTCAGTCGTTGACCAGTTTTTCAGATTCCAATAAATGAATTGTTTGGGTCACTGGGTCAGACCCTCGAAATCTGATTTGTGATACGCGACTGTTATGACCCCCCCTGATGGAAATATTTTGCTGAAAGTACTATGAAATCAATAAAAAGTAAAATAAAAGTTTTTGAAAAATTACTGAATTTATATAATATTTCAAAATGAATCATAATTTTCCGTATGAAAATTTAATGTAATACTTTGAAATATAAGGAAAGTTAAAATATACTTCTGAAAAGTAATAAAAGAGTTTTAAAATATTAGACATTATGAAATTTACTGAATTAAACTGAAAACTGTGTTACTTTTTAATGAAAAATTGCTGCAATATTTATGAAATTAATTTGTGAAATTATTGAAAAATTTTGCGATATTCTGCTGATTTTCATGGAAACTAGATAAAAAATATTGATTTATAATAAATTTTTTATGAATTACTTTAATGATTACTTATTTCTTTAATTTACTGATGCTTATCGAAATTTTGCTTTGTACGATTTGCTAGGTATTGGGAGTAGGGAAAATTATTAAGCTGTTGTTGAAAATTACTGCTATATCGAAAATCTGATTCTTTCACTATATTTGTAAATAAATTTATAAAATTGTTTATTTGCATCTAATATAAAGTATAAATATTGTAATTTAACGCGAAATATTGTAATTTTATAATAACAAAGAAAGTTTTTATTTGATCTTAAAGGTAACTTTTTTTTATAAAATTACGTTAAGTTTGTAATGAAGAAGAAATAATAAATAAATATATGTAAAAGATATACTTATGTATACATTCCTAGTCAATACCGAGCATTAGTTACATTACATCTATGTATGTTATAATTTCGTAGCCAACAATGCAAATGCAATATAACACATCGTGTTATATTACATATGATGTTATATTGCATTTACATTGTTGAATACGAAATTATGATATAGATGTAATGTAACAGATGCTCGGTGTTGACTGAATTACTACAGCATATTTTTTTTCTCTCTTATTGTATGCATTTTAATGAATTACAATGAACAGTGCTGAATAACTTTTTTCTGAAACTGAATATATAATTAAATTTCATCAAAAATACTTCAATATAAACAAAAAAAGAGATTTTTCACTGAATTTTTACTGAAATATTGATGAAATAATAATGAAATGGGGTCAATTGAAAGATATTTTCAAATATATTTCAGCAAAATTTTGTTATATTTTCAGAAAAATATTTCCATCAGCCTCCCCTGATTTCTCTAAGTCAGGACGTAATAATACTGCCGTCAATAATTAATTTCAAAATTATTGTTTAATCAAGCATAGAAATTGTATGTGAAATTATTTTCCGTAAAATCAAGTTTGCTTTAAACGATTTATAATTTGTGATAGAATTTGAGATGAAAACCAATTCACAATATTATTAATAGGAAACGTTATTATTAATGCAATTCTTTTTTTCCTCTCTTTTGAACAATTTTGTCTTTTTGACTTGTGTCACTTTTATTGAGAGTATGCAATATTATATTTTTTAACATATAGGATGTCCCAGACCTACCGTAATATCCATTAATGGCAGATTCCTGAGATCATTTTGAGACGAAAATCTTAATACCAAATTGTCGAGATAGTTTTTAAATAGGAAATGTTTAAAGTTGACCAATCAATAAATGCGCTCAGGCATGTTGCACATTGAAGATGCCTGAATTCGTCTATGACACGCTTCATGTGAAAGCTTTGACAGTTCGATGCACATCGCATTCTAATGTTAATATTCCAAATAATAATAATAATAATAATAATAATAATAATAATAAATTAATAAAAATAAATTTATAAATAAATTCCAAATAAATTTATAAAGTCATTTCAATAATAAATTATATTAATATCAATAATTAAAGTGATATTTGAAAGCACCTTCATTGTGCGATGTCTCTAAGCGCGCGACTTTTTTACAATTTAATTGGTTAATTTTAAACATTTCTTATTTAAAAACTACTGCAGCTTCGATATTTTAAGTATTCAGATTTTTGTCTTCAAATAATCTCAGGATCTGCCGGATGTTACGGTAGATCTAAGTCTCTGTATATGTAAAGATCTTTGTATATATGAAGCAGTTGTCCACGATAGAGGCTCCTACCGCGCAATTGGTCTCCGTTTCTTTGCGCAACTACAACGCTCTTTTCTCTCCTACAAAATAATAATAAACTTTAAAACTGTTTTACGCTGACAAATCATAGCAATCCGCACATCAAAAAAATTTATAAATTGCTTCCAGATTAATAATATCAAATTTAAGCAATTTTGGTTAAAGAATGACATCAATATTTGCCTTAACATACGTATATTTACGAAATAATGTTTAGCGATTTGAAATATGCAAAATCACAGGTATAAACAGAGATGAGCGCACTGTGGAGACGGTAGCGGTATTGAGCAAAGTGACACACTGCGCCACGCTTGAACAACGCTGATTGTTAATTTTTAAAATTATATTGTATCAATAAAATGTTATAAATTTTATAAATTGGTTACAAATTGGTCAAAGAATGCATGGGTAAAATAAAACATAAACTGGAACAGCTGTATAAAAATAATTTTAAAATTATAAAAAATATATAGCAATATGAAAATATAAATCTATCAATAGTTAAATATTTTAGTTTTGTATGATAAGTAATTTTTTAAATACAAGATTTTTTACAAGAAAGAGACAATAGAGGTAAAAAAATGTTCACAATGTCATCAAATAAAAAATATCACAAGAAAACAAAATATATAACTATAATTTTGAAGAATTTAGATTTTCAGAGACACTCTTCATTTATTGTCTTGAAAATTTCTCAATTTTTATTTTTGCATGATACTTTATTTTTTCTTATAGTTGTCCGTATTTAATCCACGACTTTTTTACTCTTTCTATCAATGTATTCTTCTTTTATTTCTCTTTTTTTTTTCTTCTTTGTTTGACCCAACATTTTCCACAGTATCCCAATGGGCCGTTCAATCGCATTCGACGCCCTCCAGCATTTAATTAAGCGTCGACCGCCTACGGTCGGAAACGATACAGCTTGTTGAATGCACGAAAACGACACCGACCCCCATTCGTCGATCATACGCTACCGCAACATTGTTAACGCGTCCGTCATTAACGTGAAACCACTACCGATCTGTGTATGAATTTGTATAAAATATAAATATTAGAGTAATTATAAATTTTTAATTTTTCAAATCAGAAATTAATTTTCAAGCATTACGGATAGATTTTGAATCTTTTATATTTTCATAATCTTAGAATAATTTTTTTCAATTTTTTAAATCTATTTTTCGCAAATTTAATTTTGATGCAGATTGCAAAGTTCGGGCTATATCGTTGACGAGAATACGCAAGAAATATTATCGGCACGTTATTCTGAATGTATCGATTGTACTCTTTACAGAAATCAATCCCATTAGGCTCCATCCCTGAACAGAATAGCAGTGCGTCTTCAAGGTGGTCTTGCAATTACTAATTACCTCGACTGGTCTTGCAAGATGCACGCTTAAGTACAATCAGGCGGTTATAGTGGATCTTCGCGTGGAATGCGTTAATTATAGCGTGGGCGATGAAGATTAGCATGCCGGGGAAACGATCTAATCACGCCGGTTAGAAACGAGGCATCTGATTTTATTATACTACTTTCAACCTTTCGTCAACGCTAGTGGAAAACGCGATTGCATATCGTTGCAAATTATCTTGTCTTAAAGAATGAAAGATGTCACGACTTTGTCAGGGTCGTGATAGAAATCTTGCAAAGATTCTTGATGGCGGCAAGTGTTTCTAAAGTTATAAATAACGCTGCATAAAGTGACGACGGGAGTAACTCATGAAGGGAGAAACTTAGCAATTAACGTTGAATTAAAGCGGATCTACTGTACTATTATATTCGACCATTTCCAGAGACAATCGATCAGAGTTATCAGTGCAGCGAGATGAGAGAATGAGATGAACCGTGGTAAAGTATCAATTGATATTTTAGCAGAACGGACAAAGACGACGGCCAGGATAACTCAAATCTGCGGAAGAATCCGGACTACGGAGCGCGTATTCGGAAGCTGCGAATGGAGCAGGGCGAGGGTGGCGACAAACGGGGGCGAGGGTTGGTTGGCTCTGGTTGCAGAGGGAGTTTGCGCGAACAGATCAATACGGTCCGTACATGGACATATCTCCTTCCTACACTCATTCCTCCTCTCCCTTTCTCTTTCTGTTTCTGTTTTCATCTCGTATCGCCGCTTCTCTCTTTCCTTCTGTCCTTCTGTATATCTTTGCATTTTGTTTCTATTCTTTTCAATCACTCATCCGCTCGCTTAATATAAGACGTCTTAATTTTCAACTATACGTCTTTTCTAGAGGCCACTTTAAACGATCTACATTTCGCGATAGAATTAGAAATAGAAATGTATTTATAATTTTATATATATACTCTGTGTAACATAAAAAATATTTGAAAAATCAAAATACACATATATATAAGATATATTTATCGTTTATGTGTTTTGTATGTGTGATTATTCAAATGTTTCTGTATTACGTGGCATATAAAATTATAAATAAAATTCTATCTCAAGTTTCATCACAAATTATAAATTATTGAAAATAAGCTTCAGCATGATTATTATACGTTAGTTTGATATTTCGTAACTTGTTGCATATATTTTTTATAAACAAACTTTGTCTACAACAAATTCATATAACATAATAATTATTATGTAAAAGAATCTAAGACAGAATTTTTACTGTAATCTTCCTTTTTGAAAAGTACTCTTACTTTTTTAGCGTTTGCCACAATCCATATTTCTCATATCTTCTATTAATATTCTTACTCGATCGGATCTCGCGAAGACCCCCTTCCGCCTTGAGCTTAAGCGAATGTATTCAGTTCGTTCCTGATATATCCTTGGATCTGTCCGCGCGACACAGTTCTTCGTGTTCTCCGTCTCGTTTTCTCCTAAAAATTTTGGGAGCTTTTTCAGCGTTCATTCGCTCGCTACTCTTCAGCACCTTCGTCTCTGTATCGATATTGCATTGTATGTCATGATGAAACATTGACTCACTCCGCCGGACTATCATTCTTTATTTTTGCCAATTTTTTCTCCGTCGCATTTTGTCTTTACATCTCTCTTCGTCTCTCTTTACGGGTCATCCTTTCTTTCCGCAAGTGCTATACTTCCGTCTTGCTCGATCTCACCCTCCTATCACGAGTTCTATAGGATCAGTTTTTCCTCTCTTTTGCTTTCTCGCTCTTCACTTTTATATACAAGGTGTTCCAAAATTATTGCTATTTCTTTCGATAATTTTGAGCAGCTTTTTTAATCAATATCTTTTTTTTTTTACTCCATCTTAATATTCAGCATTAAATATTTTTGTAATCAAGCTTAAAATTAAATGTTCTGTTAAAGTAAAATTATATAAAGAGAAATAAAAAAGACATACAATACATAATAATAAATTCTAAATTATTACTTTGTATGTAGGTATTTCTAAAAATTAATTCCTAAACATTTTTGAATTTTTAATTTAAGTTTCAATATTTGTCAAATAAAAATTGATTAGTTTTTTCAGATTGTTTTATAATTTAGAACTTTCCTTTTATCTGCTACACATACATAATTTCAAAATAAAATTTTTTTGTTCTAAAATTTCTTATAACTTTAAAAATTCTTCTATTCACACCTCAATAAATTAAAGCTCTTTTAATTCAATAACAGTAATCATTGCATTCCTAATATTTGAGATTGATTTCCTGATGATAAAATCTCGCACGAAAGGATTCGATTATTTTTATAGATTTTCATGATAAAATCGGCGCGTTTTCCAGTTTCACCATCAATAACGAGCCACCCTGTAGATGCATATCTCGCGCGAGCGCATGACCGGCGCTCTGTCCTTGTCCGTGGCGCGCGCGCTACCCCCGGCGAGGACGTTAGCGGTCCAGCGTGCTAGCCGTGCGGGATGTTGAATCCGTAGGAGAGATTCAGTTGTACTGCCTGGCTCCTCTCTGTCGCACGGCTAACGCCCGTGGATCGGTGAGAGTGCGAGCTGACTTCGCGTGCCGCGAGAGGAGCCAATTCCTTCCCTCGGCGAGAGCTTCACAGTCACGGCACGACCGTGAAAAGGAAATCGAAACGCGCCGTGAGATGGGTACATCCGCGTAAGAGGGGTGCGCTGCATGATCTCGCTGGGGTAGCCGGTGGTAAGTACTTTCGGATTTTCCATTTCCCTTTATTTCTCTTTTTCTCGGCTTTCCTCTTTTTCTTCCTCTTCCTGTTTGTATTCATTTCCTTTATATAATTTTTCTTATTCATAAAAGAAGAGTGTATTCTAAAACGCATAATCTTTCTCTCTCTTTCTCCTCCTTCTTTCTCTCTCTCTCTCTCTCTCTCTCTCTCTTT